ATATCAAGAACATTACAAAGCACTATAAACAGGAGGATATTGATGATCATATCTCCACTATAGCTCACCTAGTATATACAATTTTTCCTTCTCTTTTTATAATTTTCTTAATCTTCTTCGCAATGTTTCTCTGAAAATTCAAATGTCATATATCACACACATACATTGTACCCTGTAAAAATAGTCCCTAACGATTTCATACGAATTAAGCCATTTCAGGGGACCACTTTGGAATTTTATATTTTGATGGATCTTTTACACACACACATATGGCTTTCTCCCTTTATAAATTTTTAGTAAAAATAAGAGAGGATGAATATGTATCAGCATAATACATGAGCATTAATATACCAACCTCTCACGAGGGGAGATATCAAGCTGAGAGCAAAAGTTATTGAGAGCAAAAGAGGATGCCGCGTCAGGAAAACCCAAATTTTCATAAATGGGACTCAGAGGAAGTGCCGTATAGCCACTTCCCTTCGTAACATCAACGTTGCGTTTCTTGATCTCTATTGGAAGATCTAGCAAAGACTTTGCCACTCTATTGAGTTTTTTTGGTACTCCCTAGTTCATCATTCTGAAACATCCCAATTCTCACATGCCTCTCTTATCTTCTTGAACTCTTCTTCATCAGGAAGTTTTTGCATATCGATTGTTGGGATGCTCATCAAGCTCAAGTTCACCATTATCTTTTCAGAGTAACTGAGAGAGAAGAGAAGAGGGATCTTGGTAATGACTTGTTTATGGTTGAGTCACTGGCATGTCTTATTTATAGCTGAATCCCTTTACAATTTGTGCATTTCAAATACTCTGTATGGCACTTAATTAGAATGATTCAGTGATTATCATTAATAAAAAAATTTAAGTCAAATTCCTTATATTTATTATGTCAAGTTAGATCTCTTTACAATTTTTTTAATCATATCTTTTCTATATTTCAAATACTCTGTATCATGCTTAATAAGAGTGATTCAGTAAATACCGTTAACGACAATGGTACTCCCTCCAGTCCTTAATATAAGACCCTATTTGACTTTTATATTGGTTCTAAATATAAGACCCCAATTCATTTTGTCTCTCATATTTACTTAATTTTTTTCCAAATATGATGTAACTTAGTTCCCACTGGAAGAGGTAGCTACATTAAGCACTTGACAGTGTTTGAACAAGATTGCCTCCCATTAAAGGAAATCTATGCTTAGCTCTGTGTGTGTGTGTGTGCGTGATGCAACTTTGGATGCAAATTAAAAAAAAATTGAATTTATGATCAATGGCTAGATGTGTGGGCAGCAACGCTGCTTCCCACACTTGGATGAGGTTCCTATTGGATGCGTGTGTGTTAAATTGTACTAAATAAAAAAATTGAATTTAGGATGTTTTAGAGATTATTTAAAATAAATGTGAGAACGCACTTAGTGGAACCTACTTTTCTTTTTCAATTTTATTATTATTATTCAAAGATTATAAGAATTCATAGTTAATTTTACAGCTGTGCCTGGTGTATTAGAAATAACATAGGACTCGTCATTTCTTTCTTCTGATCTCTTTTTAAATTTCTCAAATAAGAGCAATAAAACGCAAACTTGTTTTACAATTTTTATGTTTTACTTTTATCAATCCTCTTAATTACCAATGAAAATATATACAATTTTACACATGATAAAAGAAGTAGCATATACCTCTCATAATAATCCATGAAATAAAAAACATGGCTTACTGATGTATGATAAAACTATTTTGGCTTAGTGTTACAAATATACTTAACAAACAAAGTTGGTTGCTGACGGAAAAAAAAAAAAAAGCAATTTTTTTTATTAACATTTTGTTAGCCATAAAACTTGACCTTTCCGAAGAAGCCATCAAGTTGCATCGAGGAAGATTTTGTTGGCAAAAACTCCAGAGAGATTCATTGCTTCTTCTATTAAAAAGCTTAATTAGTATTGCGTTGTCCAATCACACATACAATGCATTTGCTCTAATTTCTTAATGACATTAACACACTAAATAATTGTTATAGAGTATCCCAGAAGACTACCCATCTTTCTCTATATTAGTCATAGAGTATTTCAAAGGTTTTTTCAGCATCAAATTCTTAATAAATTTACTCTTTCATACATTGTGAAGCTACCTTCACTGAAAGTGTGCTAATTTTATCAATTATTTGGTAGTATAAATTGTGGTTTGTAAAAAGAAAAAGTATGGATTGCACCTAGTAAGAAAACTTACAAAAATGAAAACATAAAAATATTTAAACAAGTTTGCATGTTATTAATAAATTCTTATTGTAAAAATTTAAAAAGAGATTTAAAAAATATGAATTGGGCACTATCATATTTATCTCTTTTTCCGTGTTCAACGTAAAGTACTTCAGCAGATGCCCAATAATAGAGAAGCATATATATAATTACAAACTAATTTGATAGTTTTACTTGAGCAACATCACCAATTATAATAACAAAAGTACTCCTCTGGTTCTATTTATAAGACAGAGAAAGAAGACATTTTTATGGTTCTTTTTACATTGCACTGAGAGAAATTTTTTATATAAATATACAATTTTACCCCTCATTTATTATTATGTTGATTTTGTTTATATGAGGTATAATTTATATTAAATAGGGATAAAATTGAAAAATTATTAGATTTTAAATAAGGGTTAATAAAATTTAAGGTTTTTTAGTCTGTGTAAAAATATTAGAAGTAACTTATAAATAGGACAAAAGTAGTACCAAATAAGAGAGCGACTACCTAAACATAAGAACCAAAGAAAGGGTTCAAAGCTCCAAAACCACCAATACATTCATCATCCTAAAGAATGATGATAAATCTTGGATCAGTGTGCTCTTTGAGACCTTTGTGCCCTGTGGTCTGGTCCGAGGGCTGAAAGCCTAGAATACACTCATTAAACTTTACTGCTATGTTTAACGTAAATTCATAAATTGCTTCCATATATGCTATGTTAGAAGGATAATTTTAAATAGAGTTGGTAATATGGGTTAAACCTGTGAATCCAACCTGCCAATAATAGCGAGTTAATTAGGGTTGGTCAAAAACTAAGCTACTAGTAAATGAGCCTTTTTAACCCACACCGTCAAGCCTGCAACCTACCATGGGTTAGCCTGCCAACCCGCAGGCTAACTCACTTTTTTGTATTTTTTTAAATTTTTTAATTATTATAATTATATTATTATATATTATATCCTATCTTAAAAATTAAAAAAACCTATATAATTTTTTTGGTGCTTTTAATCAAATATTTCAAAGAAAAACAAAAATTTTATTATTATTTTTGAATATTATATAAGAAAAAATATTAAAAAGTAAAAATATATTTCAAAAAAAAAATAAATAAGTGTTGGTAGGTTAGGGGTTAGTTGCCGCTTTCAAACAAGCTTTTTCAACCCAACCCGTCACAAGTTGAACCTGCCATGGCCCAACCCGTAACCCGTGAGTTGGCCCATTTTAAACACATATCAGTACGTACATATATACATTTGTGCATATAATATTAATAATCATATCTTCTCTATACCTCTCATGGTACATACAATTTTTTTCTTACAGTTTCTTATCATCTTCTAAATGTTTCTTTTAAAATTCAATATGATATTTACCACACACATATTGTCAAAACTAAATCTATTTTCATGTCAAAATATTGATGTTTTCGTTTACAATGTTTTTGTTCAATACTTTAACGTAGGTATTGTTTTTTCCGGTCAAAAATGTATTCATTTATTTTTTTTTTTAAAAAAAGCCATTCACCTGTACTACACGCATCTACTAAAGAAACGAGAATAAAAATCCTTTTGAAAGAAAGATGATTTTATATTTTTCTGATGACTTATTGTGAGTCAATCATGACCATTCAATGAATTTAGATGGTATAGATTTAATTTTTTGCGAAAACACAAAAATAACCCTAAAATCTGTAAATCTATATTCAGGACACTAAAATGGCTTAATTACTATGAATTTCCTACGCACTAGTCTCAAATTAAATTTTACAGCAAAATCATCCTGACAAAGCAAAACAAAATAACAACAGGCGATTACAGCCTGTTTTACTGAGGACAATTAGGCTTACAAAAACTTTTTGGCGGACCTTATATATATTTCTTTCTCTTTTTACAATTTTTAGTGAAGATAAGGGATTTCGTTTGAAAAAACATGTAAATGATAGAATGATGAATATTTATCAACATAACACATGAGGATTGGTATATTATTTTGTTCTTTTTTTTTTTGGTCGCAAGTATATTATTTTGTTCTCATATGAATTATCTTAAACATTGTCAATCCACACATCTTAAAATTAGAAAGAAAAAAAATTATTATTTCAAGACGTGTGATCTCCAAATAATTTAAAATTTAAACAGTATGTCATTCCGAGATCACTCATCATCTTTCTCTAAATCAGTGATAAAGTTTCTTTACTATCAAAATCTGAATCGATTTAATTTTTCATGCATTGTAGAGCTATCTTTATTTATATATTGTACTTCATTGAACCACATACACACGCTTTTCATAGATTATGGATATTATAGCCGGAAGTCTATTTATTTCCTAGAAATTGTGGGTCTTTAGGTGAAAAACAGTATAGACTGTGGCTCGAAAGGACATGGATAAAAATAAAACATATAATAATTGCAAAGCAAGATTATTACATATTATTGAACTCTTATTTTTTAAATATGAAAAGAGATAAGAAGAAAGAAGCTGGCCTTATCCTATTTAGCACATAAGTCTAATAAAAGGGGCCATCTTCACTCCTAGCTATATCCCTTTCTCTGAGTTCATCATAAAGTACTTCACGCAACACTCTGAAAACACTGAGAAGGAACTTATATCACGAAGCTTATTAGTGCCTCCAGGCCTATCTACCAAAAACTGGCCGTAGTTAAAATTTAACTACAACTTATTTCTAATGAATAGGCTCAGGAGATAGTATTTATTTATCTCTCTCCAATGTAACTCAATATCTCACCTAAAGCACATCATGCTGAAACAGTATTTGAAGGATGATCAACACGCAATAAGTCAAGTGCTTCACCAACTCTCATATTTTTGGACCAACGAGACTCAATGTAACGTTCGAAATTGAAAGGCATAAAGAGAGGCGGATGGTCAGTGTCCACAAACTCTTTTGCAACTTCAACATCCCTATGCCGTGGTGCATGCAAACTTGCCACTACTGAAATTCTTGTCCTTCCTTCCTTGCATAGCACGCGATGATGCACATTTGGAAACCTTCCATTGCTCCACACCTACAACATTCATTTCAAAAATAATAACAATAATTTTCCAATCAAATCTACTACATAGTGAAGCATGTCAAATCAATAAGATCAATCGGCTTTTCTAGTCGGATGTAATCCATTCTTATTGGTGGAAAATGTCACGGGTTTTCGATCTTACCTTTACCCTTTGTAAGTAAAGAGAAGCATGATGATTAAAAAAACTTAGAATCTAAACGATCGAATATTTACAAATATGAAGTGCCATACATAAAGAGAGAAAAGAGAAAGCCATTAAGATAAAGAGAAAAGTGATAAATGAAGAGAGATAGATTTACATGAGCAACATCTCCAAGATTAACAACAAAGGTTCCGGATAATGGAGGGACTGGAACAAAAGAGCCAGAAGGCAAGTGTAAGACTTCGAGGCCATCAATTAGGTCATCATCCTGAACAACTGTGAGAAACCCTGGATCAATATGCTCATGTACTCCTGAGAGCCCTATAGTCTCAAGAGTGAAGCTATATTTGTTCATCTTAAAATTTCATCGCCAGTCTTGAAAATCCACGACTTCTGATAATCCCACAACACACTCCTTTATCTTTCTAGCTATATCTACTGCTAGTTCTTGAATTGCTTCCCCATATGCCTTTATTATTTTCCTGGATGCATTACATGACTTAGTCAACAATTATATTTCATTTTACGTGAAGTAATAATTATTTGTTTACTTACTTGTCATGAGGGGAGGCTTCCAATTGAAAGCAGAAAGAATCGATGTCAAGAGAGGATCCAAAGTCATGAAAACCCATATTTTCATAGAGTGGATTTATAGGAAGATACGTGTAGCCACTTCCCTTAGCAACATCGGCGTTGCGTTTCTTGATCTCTCTTGGACGATCATGCAAATATGTTGCCACCTTCTTCATCTCCCCCATTAAGTTCTTTGGTAAGCTATGGTTCATCACTCTAAAACATCCCCATTCATCACATGTCTCTCTTAGCTTCTTGTACTCTTCTTCATTTGGAAACTTTTGCATATCGATTATTGGGATGCTCAAGCTCATGTTCACCATTTCTTTATTTTTTCAAAGTAACTGAGGCAGAAGAGAAGAGTGATCTTGGTAATGACTTGTCTATGGTTGAGTCACTGGCATGTCTTATTTATAGTTGGATCCCTTTGCAATTTCCGATATTTCTTTCCCATATTTCAAATACTTTGTATGGTTCTTATAATAAGAATAATTCAGTGAATATCATCAACGATAATGATAATAGCTAATGCATTTAATGTTTGATTTCATGTTATCCCAAGATTTTTATAAAAGCAATGGATCTTCTATGCCTAAAGAAGCTAAGAAGGTTCACTTCCTTTTAGAATCATATTTCTTTCCCATATTTCAAATACCTTGTACGGTGCTCAAGAAGAATGATTCAGTGCTAATGTCAATAGTAGCTAACACATTCAATGTGTAATTTCATCTTATCCTATTCTAAAAGCAATGGATCTTCTTGCTTTTTTTTTTTTAATACCGGAAATGGATCTTCTTGCCTAGATAAGTCAAGAAGGTTCACTCCCTTCTGGAAGCCAAGTTGTCCCTACAAAAATTTTTGGCCAATCAAATTTTGTTTCTTAAGTTTTTTGTGTAAAAAAATTTTTCGAAAGTTTTGTTTGCCAATCCAAATATTTCTGCCATAGCTATTTATTTATTATTATTCAAAATATTTTTACATTATAAATGCATGCAAAAAATTAATTTTTTCTTAAAAATAATTTTTTCACATACTTTAAAAATACAAAAAATAAAAGTACATGGCCAAACAAACTTGTTTCTTAAGTTTTCTGTATAAAAATATGTCTTCTAATATAGTTTTTTTTTGTAAGGATTTTCTAATAAAGTTTTTTGCCAATATAAATATTTCAGCCATAATTATTTTTATTATTATTATTATTAAAAATGCTTTTTTTTAACAGACAAGAGATGGTATAGTTGGTAAATAGTCGACTCATAAACCACAAAAACGTCAGTTTGAATCCCATTGCCAATGTGAAGACCTTGTTGATGGGTAATTTATAAGTCCTCTTTAAGCCTCAAGACATGCCTCGGCCCTAATGAGTCTCTGGACTCAACTCACCTAAATTTTTGGTTACCCAAAAAATGCTTTTATATTATATATGTATATTTGAATCTTCAATAATTTTTTCACATTCATTAAAAACACATAATAATACATTGTGGCAATATATAAAAACGAAACAACCAATCTAACCGAGTTAATTTTACAGCTATGTCTGTATGTACTTTGTGATATTAATATATATCATCATATCGTTAATGGATTGAGCCGAGCGGAATAAAAATATCAGGAAATGAAATTATGTAATGTCTCTCATGCCTCTCGGGGTGCACAACGCAACTTGTAGTAATTTATGAGGAACTTAGAGAGAAAGAGATAGGAGGAGTGAAACAAGTATACGAGGTGCAGTAAAAATAAGATAGGACGATTTTTTTCTTATCTCTTTTCAAATCTCCAAAATAAGAGTAATAAAACGCAAACTTGTTTTATAATTTTGATGTTTTATTTTTATCAATCTTCCTAATTACCAACACAATACGTACAATTTTACATTGATAAAATAACTGGCATACATACTTCCCATAATACTCTATAGAAAAAAAGGTTCTCTAACATAAGATAAAACTATTTTTGGCTTACTTTACAAATACTTGACAAACAAATTTATTTAACATTTTGTTGGCGGTGACTTGGCCTTTCTTAAGAAGCCATCAACTTGCATATAGGAAGATTTTGTTGGCAAAACCCCTAAAATTATTCATTTCTTCTATTAAAAAGCTTAGTTAGCTGAAGACAATTGGGTCTAGTGCTATAAGGAGGTGATTAAAAAGGAAAAAAAAAAGAACTTAATTAGTATATATAGCATTATTCAATCACACATACAATGCATTTGCTCTAAGTTGTTAATGATGACATTAACATACTAATTAATGTTATTGGGCACAGTACAAAGTATTTAAAATACAACAAGAACGACCATTTATCAACATTTCCAAATGAGTGTATAACCTCTTTGAAATGGTTAAACTATTAGTTGATGATTCATGCTTGCAATTCTTGATGTACTAGCAAGTTTGCACTTTTGAAAATATAATATTAGGCATTAGCCATAGACAATTTCAAATGTTTCGGCCACATTAAGATCTGAATAAATTTAATCTTTCATACATTGTAAAGCTACATTCATTCATATTATACAGTTCATTTAACCATGCATGTTTTTCGTGGATTATGAATATTACTATGACCAACAATATACACTGCTTTAGCCTCAGTTTTTCATACTTCTCATATTGTGGTTTAAGTTCTTGCTTTTTAATTTTAAAGATGCAAAAAATAAAGTTGAGTCTTAAGTCATTATTACTGCAAATACTATTATGCCAATTAATACTTAAATGACATTTTAAAATTTTGGACAAAAACTACATTAATTTTTTGTTCAACTCTAAGGGTCATTCACCTAACCTATTGTATCCACTGTATTGCTTTGTGCAACATATTTCTCCGGTCCTTAATAAAAAAACCTATTTAACTATTTTTATTAAATTAAGAAAATTAGTTAAGTTAGATGATGATGATAGTAATAAATATAGTTTTTTTCCCCAAAAATACCTTCAGCTATAACTATTTTTAAAACCTGACATTTCACCCAAAAAAAAAAAAAAAAGGCTCTAGTTAACTCGCTTCCCACGTCAACACTAGTTTCAGTCTTTCCTGGCTCACACACCGTCTGGCGTCGCTTAAAAAAACAATAAGCTTCATATGCATAGGAACACCGTTATAGCTTTGATCAAATGAAATCCACCATCTTATAGTTATCTTTTCTTTTGGGATTTACAAATTCACAAAGCTTACATAATTATCTCTTATATGTTGTCATGCTAGTTTATAATTTTTTTTTTCAAAAAATGAAATTTTTTTATGGACTGAAAACGATTTTTTTGGGCCATCATGAGATTTTTTTTGGTGTTTTTTTTCTCAGAGATGATTTTTTTTAAGTGACTTTTTGATTGGGTAAAATATGAGTAGAAGGTTGTTTTTCTAACCACGAAAGACATAGACAATAAGATTAATATTTTATTAAGCTGTTCTTTGAGGTAAAAAAATCCAATCACTTTGAATGGATATTTGCATTAAAATATTTTTAAAAATTTTTTAAAATTATTTTACTAAAAACATTAAACAGTGAAATTGATGTATGTGTGGAATTAATAAGTAGGGAGTATTACTCACTTTATAAAATATATAGGTGTATTATTAGATTATTATTACTGTATTTAATTATTTTTTAAAAAATCATAATAGGGGTAATTTAAAAAAATTGATAAATATAAGAAATATGTCCTATATTGAAGACTAAGATCAACCTTCTAAATAGGTCCTATATTAAAGACTAGAGGAGTGCCTAACTATATCATTCCTTTTTCTTCCTTTTCACATTTCCGTTGTCAACTTTGTTTTCGCTGTTCGTTTGTTTGTGATGATGATTTTAGGGTTACACGTCAATTCTTTTGACTATTCATCAGTTTAAGAATAATCAAAGGAAAGAAATTTGGGATGCTCAGATCAATTGTTAGAGGTAGAAGTGGAAGACCAAACAAGAGTTTTAGGATCAAAAGCACAATTCACACCATTTTCTTTCAGTTTGCCATAAAATAAAGCTCCTCAATATTTAGGTTAATTATTGAACGATTCCAATAAATTTGTAAAACATTTACACTCTTCGTATCTTCATTTCTCCTGCAAAATTTAAGGCATTGGTATTATTCGTTGTGACTTAAAGCGCAGCAATGTCCTTGATGATGATATGATAGATTGGGCGAGTGATTTGAAGTTAGCAGTAAGACTACTAACCACTGTTAATGGCAGTTCTCAAGAACCAACAAGCACATTTAGAATAGAAGTGAAGATTGTACTCCTCTAAGTACAATTTAATTTATTATTATTATGGCTTCAAGCTGCTCCTTTAAATTTCATTTCTTTTGTGAAATATTACTCTTTTTTATTTTGTTAGTTTCAAGACAATGAGTTTCTAAAGTAACATATTTCTGAACAAGATTGGAGAGTACCCCAGCAGGAACGGAGCCAGCCTCTAAACCAAAGAGGGCATAACATAGTAGATAATGGATTATGGACAAGTATATAATATAACTACATAATGTTTTAAAAATGAAAAAGAGGTGAAAATTAAGTTAAACCACATATATATAAGATATAAAATTCAAAAAATTACGCTTTACATATTTAAGATAATTTCAATTAATATTACATGCAAGTGAGATAATACAAAATAAATCTATGTATAAAGATGTAAATATTCAATTTTCATATTAATTAATTAATAGATGTTCTAAATCTTATTCATTGTATATATGACATCATATTTTTTTATTATATGAGTTGTCTTTTATATAAAATTAAACAACCATTTAACCTTGTGTAAAGTGAAGAAAGTGAAAATGCAATTTTGCCTGAAGAATTAGTATCAATTCTTGAGGTTTTGAATTTTCACTGTGATTTCTATACGATAATAATGCTGCGTATTTTCTATTCTGAAAGACCAAAGCATATCATTAAGCTTATGATACGTTTTACAACACAGGCATATATGCTTACACACTTTTTACAGTCTCATTTTCCTTAATCTCATGCAGTTTAAAAATGTTACACATGTGCATTCCTACATTTTCTACCATCCAGTATTTTCGTATAATATGTGTGTGCTGAGTGCAAAGGACTCTAATAATACTAGCAAGAGTTAGTCCAGTTGATAAGGAGTCAGCTTGTAACTACAAAGTTGTAAGTTCAAATCACACTCTTGATGTAAAGACCTTGTTGGTAGGTGATCTATAAGTATCTATGTAAACCTTATTTGAGACTAGAAATATGTCTTGACCCTGATAAATCTTTGAGACTCAACTCACTTATACTTTTTTGTTATAAAAAAAAAAAACGAGTCTACCTATTCCCCCATATCAATCTAGAATCTCTGGTCAAG